ATAATTATTAGAAGGATTACTAGGATATGGCCTAGGATTAAAATTCCCTCTATAAGTGTTGTTACCAAAATTATTCCTACCAACAAAATTCACATCCATAGATTCATTGTTATTCTCAATCAAAGTGGACAAAGGCATATCATTAGGATCAGAAGAAACACTCTTAGTAGCAAATAATTTCATAAGTTCATCCATCTTTCTACTCAACACATTGATTTCTTCTATCGCATGCACTTTTTTATTAGAAGATCTTTCAGTATGCCATTGAGAATAATTAACCATAATATTATCTAGGAGTTTAGTAGCATCTCCTAAAGTGATTTCCATAAAAGTGCCTCCCGCGGCCGAATCTAAAAGATTTCTAGAAGCAAAATTCAATCCGGCATAAATTTTTTGTATGATCATCCACAAATTCAAACCATGAGTAGGGCAATTAAGTATCATTAATTTCATTCTCTCCCAAGCTTGTGCAACATGTTCATGATCAAGTTGTTTAAAGTTCATAATATCGTTTCTAAGAGAGACGATCTTAGCGGGAGGAAAATACTTAGAGATAAAAGCATCTTTGCACTTGTTTCATGAATCAATACTATTCTTAGGCAAAGACGAAAACCAAGCTTTAGCACGATCTCTAAGCGAAAAAGGAAATAGCTTCAATTTAACGACATCATTATTGACATCTTTTTTCTTTTGCATATCACATAAATCAACGAAGCTATTCAGATGAGTAGCGGCATCTTCACTAGGAAGGCCGGCGAATTGATCTTTCATAACAAGATTCAACAAAGCAGTATTAATTTCACAAGATTCAGCATCGCTAAGAGGAGCAATCGGAGTGCTAAGGAAATCATTATTATTGGTATTGGTGAAGTCACACAATTTGGTAGTATCTTGAGCCATTGCGACAAACAAGCAATCTAACACACGAGCAAACAAAAAGCAAACGGGCAAAAAGAGGCAAATAAAGAGGGAGGATAGAGAGAGAGGGCGAATAAAACGGTAAGGGTGAATTGGGGGAGAGGAAAATGAGAGGCAAATGGCAAATAATGTAATGCGAGAGATAGGGATTGTGATGGGTACTTGGTATGTTGACTTTTTGCGTAGACTCCCCGGCAACGGCGCCAGAAATCCTTCTTGCTACATCTTGAGCTTGCGTTGGTTTTCCCTGAAGAGGAAGGGATGATGCAGCAGAGTAGCGTAAGTATTTCCCTCAGTTTTTAAGAACCAAGGTATCAATCCAGTAGAAGGCCACACTCAAGTCCCTCGTACCTGCACAAAGCGATAGCTACTCGCAACCAACGCGATTAGGGGTTGTCAATCTCTTCACGGTCACTTACGAGAGTGAGATCTGATAGATATAATATTTTTGGTATTTTTGATATAAAGATGCAAAGTAAAAAGTAAAAGCAAAGTAAAAGGCAAAGCAAGATTAAAGTGATGGAGATTGATATGATGAGAATAGACCCGGGGGCCATAGGTTTCACTAGTGGCTTTTCTCAAGAGCATAAGTATTCTACGGTGGGTGAACAAATTACTGTTGAGCAATTGACAGAATTGAGCATAGTTATGAGAATATCTAGGCATGATCATGTATATAGGCATCACGTCCGTGACAAGTAGATCGAAACGATTCTGCATCTACTACTATTACTCCACTCATCGACCGCTATCCAGCATGCATCTAGAGTATTAAGTTAAAAACAAAGTAACGCCTTAAGCAAGATGACATGATGTAGAGAGATAAATTCATGCAATATGAAATAAACCCCATCTTGTTATCCTCGATGGCAATGATGCAATACGTGCCTTACTGCCCCTTCTGTCACTGGGTAAGGACACCGCAAGATCGAACCCAAAGCTAAGCACTTCTCTCATGGCAAGAACTACCAATCTAGTTGGCCAAACCAAACGGATAATTCGAAGAGACTTGCAAAGATAACCAATCATACATAAAAGAATTCAGAGAAGATTCAAATATTATTCATAGATAGACTTGATCATAAATCCACAATTCATCGGTCTCAACAAACACACCGCAAAAACAAGATTACATCGAATAGATCTCCACAAGAGAGGGGGAGAACTTTGTATTGAGATTCAAAGAGAGAGAGAAGAAGCCATCTAGCTACTAACTATGGACCCGAAGGTCTGAGGTAAACTACTCACACTTCATCGGAGAGGCTATGATGATGTAGAAGCCCTCCGTGATGACGGCCCTCTTCCGACGGAGCTCCGGAACAGGCCCCAAGATGGGATCTCGTGGATACAGAAAGTTGCGGCGGTGGAATTAGGTTTTTGGCTCTTGTTCTGATCGTTTGGGGGTACGTGTGTATATATAGGAGGAAGAAGTACGCCGGAGGAGCAACGAGGGGCCCACGAGGCAGGGGGCGCGTCCTAGGGGGGGCGCCCCCCACCCTCGTGACCGCCTCTTTTGTTCCTTGGAGCAGGGTCCAAGTCTCCTGGATCACGTTCGGTGAAAATCATGTTCCCGAAGATTTTATTCCGTTTGGACTCCGTTTGATATTCCGTTTTTTCGAAACACTAAAATAGGCAAAAAACAGCAATTCTGGGCTGGGCCTCCGGTTAATAGGTTAGTCCCAAAAATAATATAAAAGTGGAAAATAAAGCCCAATATAGTCCAAAACAGTAGATAATATAGTATGGAGCAATCAAAAATTATAGATACGTTGAAGACGTATCAGGCGCCAGGGCGTGGGTTCTCCTACCCTCCCTCCCCTCCACTATATATAGGGGCCCTGGGAGGGCGCCGGTCCCTAGAGATCCCATCTAATGGGAGGGACGGCGGCCTAGGGGTGGCTTGGCCCCCAAGCCAGGTGGAGGTGCCCCCACCCCTTTAGGGTTTCCAACCCTAGGCGCAAGGGAGGCCCAAGGGTGGCGCACCAGCCCACCAGGGACTGGTTCCCACGTCACTTCAGCCCATGGGGCCCTCCGTGACAGGTGGCCCCACCCGATGGACTCCGGATCCCTTCCGGTGGTCCCGGTACAATACCGGTGACCCACTCAATATACATATATCTACCTGTTTTCATACTAAAAGACTTGCTCGCACGTACTACCCACTCAATATACATACATATACCCCAATAAACGAAGAGAAATGCTGCAAACATATGGACAAACCACTTTCCATATTGCTCGTTAAGTGCACTGGCATACAGAACCATTTGTGTTAATATAAAGCGAACATCTTGTCACGTCTGATTGTCTGAACGCCCGTTCCTCCTAAACAAGAGAACGGGATATGCTGCCGCCGATAGTACCTCCTACGTTTGGGGGCTGGAGACACCTGTGGCCATGCCAGGTGAGGAGCGAGAGCTCCCAAAGTATATACCGACGAAAACGGTGGCCGGCCCTTGTCATCAAGTAGCATGCAAACGCGTTTTGGCAGGTAGTTGGTCTGCACTCCTCTTCATATTCAAGTTATGGAGCCGCAGAGGCACCGGAGAGAAAAGAAAGGCCAAGAAAACTACAGGTCAACCGAAACCGCGTGAGGCATCCAAAAAAAAAACGCGTGGAGCAAGCAGTCCCCACTGTACCGTCGGATGCGGATCTCGGTCGTCGACCGTCGACCGCGATCTCGCCGTCCGATCGGACATCGACGGCGCACGGAGCGACAGATGTGCACGCTGCCGCACGTGGGGGCCCGTGCGGGCCGCACGTGCCGAACCGCCGACAGGCCGGCGCCCTCTCATTCCGCGGGTACATGCACATATTGCAGCTGGCTTCACTGGATTGCAGCTCATCCTTGGCGCTGTATAATGTAGCCTGAATTGAAAAGGGTGGCAGTCGACCGGAACTGACCTGTGGTTCGCGAAGCGCGTGCATGGATTTGGTAGATTAATCCCCGTGCTAAGAATCGTTTGGACATGCCGGGTTAGCTTAATAGTGTAGGAGGAGACTTGGGAGATAGGAGGGCGATAGATTCCTTCTCGAATGGTGGCATTCCATGTGCACCGCGCAGTACAAGGCGTGAGTTTCCGACGGGCAGCCGAGCAGTGCTCGCCTAGTGCGAATAAAGAACAGGAACTGATAGAATGGTCCTGGCAGTGACGGGCACGGACGGACAGCAGCTCGCTTTACCTAATCATGTGGTGTTCAGTTTGACAAAGGGCTCAAACGGGAGGTGACAACTGCAAAGATCAACGTCACGACACCGGCCTCTCATGCCGGGTTGGTACTTGGCACAGTGACGGAAACACTTGAGTTGAATCAAGTGATGCTCTCTAGCACCGTGCACAGGTTACATACACTCTACTCTGACTGATATGTAGCAAAACTGCACTGGCAAACTGGGCATTCCCTATGAGCATCAAAGAAGTTAAATTGGCCTGTACATGATTGTAAACAATTTGAACTATGCACAAGACTGCCTTCTGTAAGAATTTGAAGCCAAAAAATTGCAAAGGGCGTAACTAGGTGAGCCTGTTGCACAGCCGTTCCGCTATCAACAAGAACGTTGTGCAGGATTGCAGCTCCATAGTCACATCGCAGAAGCAACTCTCCCCATCTAGCTATCCACAGAATGGTGGCAGCCAATATTGCCGTACAACAGCTACCCGTCAGCTTGCATCGACTGCGATACTGCTCTAGGACAATCAGGATTACACCAGGCCATCAAATCAAATCACTTTTCTCGAACTGGGGACACACCGAATAATCTTGGCCCATGCAGGGACAACCAAGATTGCACAAAGCCACCAGTCACCTTGCAATCTTGTACTGTAGCATCATGAATGCGTTTGGTGTCGGTCAAAATGTTTGGAAAGGCAACACTGCTTTCACCTGGAAGTTCAAAGAGAAAAATATCAGTAACCACAAACTGGCTCAGCCGCAGAAAAAGATGGAACTTGAGAAAATAATGGAAACTAACCTGACCATAGGAAAGATTATATCCAGGACAGGTAGATAAAAAGTCTGATATCGATTGATCCTTTGGAATAGCAAACCTGAACAAAATTCACTAACGAGCAGATTGCCAATCAACTCCAGATTGTAGGATTTTTGAACTGTAAAGATATTGCTTCAGACAGGAACTTCACAATTTCTTCCTTTTCAACATCTTTCTCCTTTCTTGCATCGAGATGTCTAACCTGAACCGAAGATAATAAAAACATAGCAACATTAGTAATCTCAAAAATCCTAAGTGCATTAGTGATTCACTAAGTGCAGATAGAACAATCTGTGGTTTTCCTTGTTGCTAATTTTCCTCGTCGAAATAGACATATCAACTGTCAAGTTTCCATCTATCCTAAATTGTTCACTACTCCCCCCGTTCCTAAATATAGGTCTTTTTAGAGATTCCACTACAAACTACATACGGATGTATATAGACATATTTTAGAGTGTAGATTCACTCATTTTGCTCCGTATGTAGTTTAGGAACAGAGGGAGTATTTTGCATGATGTTTTTAGTGTGCCTCCGTACTACATTAGAATAAAAGAACATCTTTTAAAAAACATTGGATTTTGTTTCTTTATTTTGGATAATCATTGAGTCACTGGTTCAATCTGAATGCTAGATACATCCATTTGAGAGACAAGCTTTTTCGGACGGAGGGAGTACTAGATTTCCAGATGGAACTAGTTACTCAATGATTATCCAAAATAAAGAAACAAAATCCAATGTTTTTAAAATATGTTGAAATTATTCGTACAAGACACTCAAGAAGTCTTCCCAGCAAGAAGGTACTGTCAAGAACCTGTAAAACTAGGTTAAAAAAACCCGTAAAACTTAAGATTTGTACTCACAATAGAAGCAGATGGTCCAAATGCAAATCAGTGCACATCATTCTGGTATTCATGTCACAGGCTCTTTTTATTTTGTGACAATGATAAAATACCACTTCTTAACAGTGTAAAAACACAATAAGGTAATATAACCTCAACATATTTACCTTCACAAGATCTGTTTGCGAAAGACCTGCTTCAGTGATAAACACAAGGCATTTGATGTCATGATCACTGGCGTACTCATATTGTTCTTGAAGACTTGGGTCTTCCTGAGGAACAAACTGGGCCTAATAATAGTAAATCTATCAGCACTGGCTGAAAATATAATATATATAATCTGCAAGGCTTGTGTAGAATTCACCTTTATGTTAGCTTCCCAAAGTTCTGCAACAAGTTCCATGCGCTCGTTTAAGAGTCCGCCGCCACCCTTTGAACATACAAGTACACTGATGCTATTTTCAATCCTGATGTCCAAAAAATATTAGTGCGTCTAAAGAAATCTCAGTGACCCATTAAAGGGGGATGTGAAATGCAGAAAAGATAGATGATCAGTTGTGTAACCTTGGCAACCCAACGTCAGATGAAGGATTATTAGGAAGGAATTTCTCAAGTGCAATGCTCACACCAACAGCACCCGGGGGTTTGGTTTTCTGTGCAGGTTATCAAATACAAGTTAATCACTTGGCAGTCTTTCATTTTGATCGCATGATAAGCATTCACAGGGGAAAATATTGTGGTAACAACAATTATATAACTCCTTTGTTTTCTCGTTCCGAGGAATCACCAGCACTTGAATGTCTAAAGGTCATGATCGAAGAATGCAGAGTGAGTTTCTAAGCAGATGAGATCAAAATGTCATTTATCATACGGCTTGAGCAGCTTCCTATCAAAACAAACGGCGTATCTAGGGGATGGCTACGGTACAGAAAACTTGAGAAAAGTTTCTAGACCTACTTTTCCTTCCACATTTTGCACTTCTCCCCATTTCCCATCTGGTGCCAGTGAAAAGTTTCTATACCCCCCTAGTCACTCCTTCAGTTCTAATGCCACAAAAGTTCCATCTCATGACTCATCTCCTTTGCATCTTTCTGAAGCACAGGCCAGAAGCCTCCCTGTCAAGGTATATACTCCCTCCGTCCGGAAATACTTGTCGTAGAAATGGATACGGATGTATCTAGAACTAAAATACATCTAGATACATCCATTCCTTGGACAAGTATTTCCGGACAGAGGGAGTATTATCTATTTCTCCTTATCAGGACATCAGTGCTAAAGGAAGAAATAGAGTTATGTACACCTCCCATCACATTGCTGGTGAAAGAGCTGCACAATAGAACAGCCGGTGCAGTGGTAAAGCACCCTTCTGTTATGTACATCCATTCCCTAGCAAATCCACTTCGATGGGCGAGTATTGAATAAAAGGGGTTTGGAAGATTTAAGATGTCCTTAAGAGCAACTCCAACGGGCCGACCCATACGGACGGCGATCTCGTCCGCTTTTTGTCCGTTTGGGTCGGCCAGACGGACATGATGTCCGCTTCCGCATTTGGGTCGGCGCGTGCGCCCAACGCTGGCCTGAACCCATTTTGACGGCGCAAAAAAAATGAACGCATGCATATTAAAAAAGAGAAACAGCATTAATTAAACATTAAAGCCAGCCACGAAGGCCGGCGAGAGTCCACGCGTCCACATTTGCATTTAAAAAAATAAAAACAGCCTAAACTACGAGGCGACGCGCTGCCCTAGGCGGCGGCGTCGTCGTCCTCGGGGTCCGTGAGGTCGATGAGCATTGGCGCCGGCCCGGCCCAGGCGAACGCCGTGTTCCAGAGCGCCGTCATGTCGGGCAGTGCCGGCGCGGGGGGTGTGCGGCCGCCTGTGCAGCCGCGGCCTGGCGCGCCTCCTCGGCCTCGCGCTGCTCCTCCTCGAGGTCGCGCTCGAGCATCTCAAGATACTCGCCGTCGCGGCACTCCTCGGCCACCCTGATCTTGCGCCAGTGCTCGAGGTACGCCTGCTCCTGCGCCGGCGTCGCTCCCATCCAGACCAGCGGCGCGCGTACCCACTCGCGCACTACTCCCATCCAGGAGTAGCGCTCGATGGGGGACGGCTCCCGCTCCGGCTCCGGCTTGATGGGGGACGGCGGGGCCACCGGCGGCACCACACTGTCGCCCGCCGCGGAGAGGGCAAGGGCATGCGCCATTAACGCCTCGTACCGAGCCTCCTCTTCCGCCTTCGCCGCCTCCGCCCTGCGCCGCTCGTCCTCCTCGCTCTCCCGGCAGACGGCCGCAAGGGCCGCCTGGTAGGCGTCCTCCGCCGCCTGGTTCTCCTCGCGGACGACGAGCGCCGGTGGCGGCGACCTCCGGTCAACCTCGCACACGCCCCGTCGCCTCGCCTCCTCGTGCTCGAAGGCGAACCACCTCGCCCAGTTGGGCGAGTCGGTTGCGTAGGCGGGGTCGCGGCACTGCTCCGGCGTCAGCAGCGCCCGCCGGCGCCGCACCTCCTCCGCGTGAGCTCGAGCCGACCGCGGCGCCGCCGGCACTGGGATCCTATCTGGATCCAGATGCCAGTCGTGCGGCAGCGTCACGTCGGGATACGGCAGAGGCTGCCGGTGCTGCCAGTGCCACTCCGCCTGGTGCACTGGCACATTCACGCGCTGCCTCTACCGGCGAGGCGCCGGCGCCAGCGGAGGCGGGTGGAAAGGGGTGGGCGGGACTTGCCCTTGGCCTTGCTGCCGCTGGCGCCGGAGAAGAGGCCCATCTCGCTGTGGTTGTGGTGGCTAGGGCTTGCCGGCGACGAGGGAGCAAAGGATGGCAGATGTGGACGGCGAGTTTGGATGAGGACGGCCCCGCCGCACGGTCGGCTTAAAAAAGGACCGCGTGGGCAGTGGGTAGTTGGACGGCCGCCATGTGGGGACGCGGCGGACAGCGGGAAGGCGCGCGAAGCGTCCGTTCGGCGTCCGCGCCGATGCATTTGGGGCGCAAATTTGGGCCGCAAATGCGTTGGCGCGGAAGCGACGCGGACATGATTTGGGTTTAGGTCGGCGCGTTGGGCCGCCACTTTTGTCCGCGCCGACCCAAACGGACGCATGCGGACGAAATGGGTCGGCCCTTTGGAGTTGCTCTAAGGATTCCGTGCCATCTATATGTAGTTACTTGTTACTGCAAACAGTTCCATTAATTCTTTTAAGTTCCCCTCAAGCATACAGTAGCATCAAGAACAACTTACATGTGTCTTATCCCAAGCATTTTCCATCAACATATCATATCGCCCGCCAACAGCAAGCAGCTTTTCATGGGAACTCGACGCAGGACTACCTTCTTTTGAGTAGATCTGTGATAAAGCATGGTTAACTGAGATATTATATCATCAAACATTAAGTGCACATATAACATATCATCTTTTAAACCATGTGACTTTGAACTTAACAAATGTTGGGATTAAGAATAATACAGTACTTTTTATTGCCATATTGATGACTAATAAGTCATCAAGCAGTAACGTATGCTTTGCGCATATTAACAAATCATGTTTTAAACTATGTGACTGAACTTAACACAAGTTGAGATTGAGAAGAAAAATACAGTACTATTTATTCCCATTACCATATTCTCATTACATTATGGTAAATATAAGACGAGAATGATGTACAGCCTATACTGCATATCATGCAACAACAACAACAACAACAACAACAACAAAGCCTTTAGTCCCAAACAAGTTGGGGTAGGCTAGAGGTGAAACCCATAAGATCTTGCAACCAACTCATGGCTCTGGCACATGGATAGCAAGCTTCCACGTACCCCTGTCCATAGCTAGCTCTTTGGTGATACTACTGCATATCATGAGAACTGAAAAATAATTCTCTCCAAAGATACAATCGGACTGTTCACCAATGCTTTAGAATTCCAGAAAAGAGAAGATATAAAGATACAGTTCATCACCTGAAAAAACAGATCCGTGTAGTAATAGTCTGAAGGAGGCATAAGTACATCAATAGCAATATGTTCTTCAACTGACCATACCCTCAAACATTTGAGGAAAGTGGAGAGATCATCAAGAGCCTTGCAAGCAGATTTATCTACAACAGGAAACACACAATGATGCCATCATAGAAATTCCTAGTGTAAGGAGCTATGTTAAGAAATGTAATAGCCAGTACCATAGAAAAGGGTCCCTCTTAATCTAGCAAGTACTAGATCTGCAGATCCACAAAACCGCTGATCTGCTTTATGCAGCTTCTCAACAACTTCTTCAGAAAGACGAAGATCCTGGTTGATTCAATAAATTAGCCTAAACACTGAAAATTATTTGCCACAAAATGTCTCTTTTATGATGTTCAGGTGTGTAACTACAAGACTCACAGAAATAACCAGTATATTCAATTCACAAAACACAATGAAACACATAAGATAACTTGTGACACATTTAATGAAGCGTGTGAATTATAAACAAACTTCACACTTCCTACTCGTGGAAGCAGGTTATACCTGTAATAGTTGCCCTCGAATCAAACTCCACTGTGACTTACGATCCGCCTTATTTGGGCAATATTGAACAAGAGTAGAAGATAGAAACTGAACAACAGGAAAGGATAAGTATCAGCTAAAATGATTCCGCAAATTACAGAAACTGTTAAGGCAAAATAGCATACCTCAGCAACATTCTGTCTTCGTTCCTGAGGAACTCCTGCCCAGGAACAAACTGCTTCAGCGAGTTTGCTATGATTCAGCCGAATAACTATTGCCTTCGAATTGTAAAAACGTCTCACAAGGTCCAAAGCTACCTATGGTTGCATGGAGTAATTGTTTATGTCACGATACAAAAGTACATCTTCAACATTAAAAAAAAATTCTAAGATAAATGCCTACTTCGAAATGCATTGTTGCAAATGAAACATAATCTAAAGAATATAAGATCACCGCAAAATGCAGTCACAGAAACAAGGCAAATGATACCACATGAAAATGTATTACCTTGATAACTTCGGCATGTGTTATTGGTGAAGAACCTCCAATGATGTCAAAATCACCCTAAAAAGGCATGAACATAATCTTAGAGAAGGAATCTGGAAATGATTTCATGACAGTGAAACAGTAGACAAAGAAAGATATGGCTATAATCCAGCTTGACAGTAAATAATAATTATATAAATAGAACATTACCTGAAGAAAACGATAAGGAGTTGAATGGCCAACTGCTCTTCTGTGAACCCATGATATTTCATAACGCTTACATGATGATAACTGCAAGTGAATTGTGTAAAAGTATTCGCTGTTAGCTATACATCATTGTACTCACTGGCAATCTCTTACAACTCTTAAAATGAATGAGTGAAATCATTACAAAAGACGCACATTCAAATTTACTACACTAGTCTGGAACAAATGGTTTACTACCATTCATTAGAAACATTTCCATTCTAGAATCTGTTAAGAGTTGTATATGCTTTCCATGAATTAGCTGTGTAGTATCTCCACTGTACACGGGGTTTTCTGCCTATGGCCTTATGGAAATACAATTTGCTATCAGCCAATGGCCTTATGGAAATCCCCCGCAAAAAAAATGGCCTTATGGAAATAAAGCTGCTATCGGCCTATGGCCTTATGGAAATATAAGTTGCACATTTGCATACTTCCTCACATGGTATCAGAGCCCTAGGTTTTCTTCCCACCGCACACAACTCCTGCTCTCTAACTCAGACAGATTGTTTTTTATCTTTTCTCGGTATCATCTCGATTTCTATTTCTGATCGATTCTCATGACAACAGTTACCATGATCAAGTTTGTGCCCAAGTTCCCTGATCACTGCATCCCAACCCCGATTTCCAGATCAATTCCCCTACACAGCAATCGCCCTATTTCTAAAGGAAATAGGAAATAGAAGAAATAGATCTGAAAGTTGGGAGCAAATAAGATGTAAAGACAATCAAGGCATACAGTCACACAATTAGATAAGGGCCACAAAAAAACAAGTGTGACACTTGTTATAGACCTGGTTAGCAGCAACGTTCATAACAAATGGTGTTCGCAGCTCATAGCAAAGTTCTAGCATCTCTCCTCCTTGTGTTAGGATCTTCACTGTCTTTCCACTACAAATTTGCAAATAATAAAAATAATAATATAAATGTCAGCAAAGAGTAGTTGTGATGGAACAATCACTAGTTTGTCTTCTTCACACATTAAATATTCATAAGGTAAGCAGACTAGAATTCAAACACACCTATTTTCAGTAAATTTTCCATCCAATGTATGCAAGGGTGATATCTGGAACCTTTTAGCACAATGTCGCTTAAAAACCTCTTTGCTAACCTCAATAATGGAATCCAAGAGTTCACTGTTATCATTTTTATAAGTGGTTTTTTTACTGCTTTCATGCTGACATTGCATTTTGGCGACCAGTCGATCTTCATTAAATATTGTAGATATAACTCGATCATAAACGTAAGTGTCTTCAGGTGTCTGTATCATTCTAAGTACATCTGCATCAAGTGGACAAAGGCAGACATAATAAGTAAAAAAGATTGAACTGCCACTTCAAATATATTCAATATCCATATACAAGGAAAAGGCTGAAACAAGTTGCCTGAAAGGCCCATGATGATAATAATATCCACCAATTTATTAAATTACAGAGCACACAAAGCGAGCACCATAGAGCAGACAAACAGTCTATTGTTGGAGGAGCACAATTGCAGTCAAAAATCAACAAAGTACAAAGCACAGTCTATATTTGTGCAGCACAATTGCCCATGTAAAGTTTTATTTTGTTTTTTGTTGTTGTCACCAATTATAAATTTAGCACCGCTTTGGTGCTCTTCTTAATACAAAAGCAGTCCAGTACGTGTTCGAGAAAACAAAGTATAAAGCACAGACATGAGCACATAAAGGCATAAAACAGAGAAATGACCCCCCCCCCTTGTTTTTGTGCAGAGGGGCCACACAAAATAGAAGAAACTTAAAATTCATCAATTAAAAGAATTAGCAGTCATCAATTAAACATCGCCTCATGATCTGTTCTTCAAATGGTACGACCTGATGTTAATGCAGAAAAGTCAAAACTTACCATTTAACCACTCGTCCTCCATCCGAGGAGGCAAGTCATTTTGCAAAAGCTCAATCGCAGATGGACGTTCGGACGGGCTTGGGCATAGTAAGCGTCTTAATAGATTTGATTGACCAGGATATTGTGTTGACCATGATACTGGAGACTCGCCTTTCTGTTTAAGATCAGTGAGAACAAGATGTCTTTCCATTGCTGTTGAAAATGGATGCCAAAGCTCAAAGAATATAACACCCGCACTGTACATGTCAACCTGAAAATAACCAAGATAAAAACCCAAGAAGTTTAGAAAATACTACAACTGGTATTAAGTTGCTATTATCATAAGAAATACTCTAACTAATTCTCAACAAAGATATATCTATTTGTTCTTTTTTTTAAATGAAAAAATAGAACTCTATTCTGACCTTTTCGTTTATCTGTGGCCACTTCTGTTCTACCTCTGGTGCAGTATAAAAATAGGTGCCTACTTGACCTGTTCCATCCATTGAAACACCCATTCCTTCAGTAGGAATATATTGGTCATGATCCAGCTGCTCCAGCTTTAGAAATTTGGCTGAAAAAATGATTAAAATGGTGTCAGTTCAAACTTTCCTCAATCACCTAGAGTTACACTTCACATAAAACAGGGTAATTAACTAAATAGAAAATATCTGCAATTCAGGATGTCAAACCCCCAAAATTCTGCCAAGATATTCATGACAATTTACATCTGAACTATTTTGTGGGTTCATTTAACATTCAAATGTCAATATATTGAAGAGAAAAAACTGAAGTGGTAACTTTGTACGTCATGTTAACACTTCATGTCAAGATGACAGTATCCAACCAATCAACATCACAACTCCGGGAAGAAATAAAATATTGCCAATAACTATATCTATGAAACCACATGATTTGTTGCTTAACCAGTACATACCATTTAGAATGAAAATATAAATCCAACCGACTGCAAAGAAATGTCAGTTCCGGATATAACTAGGAAAGTTCACCTACCAAGACCAAAATCTCCAATTTTGATGTCGTTGCGCACATCAAAAAATATGTTGCTAGGTGTCAAGTCCCGGTGTATGATGCCTTGACTATGAACATGTGCTAGGCCTTCCACGATTTGTCGAAATAGGTGCCATGCATGGTCGACATTGAAAGATGAACTATATGTCTCAAAGTCCTGTCGCAGGGTTCTGAAAACAACACACAAAACAAAGTTAGGTAAAGAGAAACCATTATCAATAGCATAGGTAACATTATGTGTCACTAAATGACCAAAATAAGAAATAGAATGATTGGGTAGTCACAGTCCCACATCTGAATTCTCAGGCCAAAGATCGTGCCCATGACCCAGCTTAGAAGTTTACAATTAGCCCTTTTATTATTGTAAGTCTACTCTGTTTATTCTGAAATAATTAGCTTCTATTATTCGTAAAGTGGATGTGTAAGGTAAAACAACTACACCAAAAACTGTCTGGTCAGCAATCAAGCTTACAGGTGAACTTTAGCACTGCCCAACCATGAAAAGACTGCCTGCCTGAGCTCCTCAAACAAAATTCAGACTATGACTAGGTCTGGTGCATATAGGACATCGACTCCTCGTATAAATGTCACTCATTTCTTTAGAGATAACAGTAGCATAGCTTTACGTAGTGAAAGTTATTTGAAGTTCCAGGTACTGAGAGTCGAGAGATGCAGCATTGTTACTCCTCCGATGTTTCTCTGGTTTCTTTCAATTGTTGTACACTAACGTAGTTTCACCATAATAAAGCAAGACCAGCTCTAGACCCTGTGTTCCAATAAAACTTCCCTAGTGCACTAACTGCGTAATGAACATACCTAGGACAATACTCCATTTGGATGTACAAGTATGTGCATTCCTGCTTATTTCCAGCACCTGAATCTGACAAGCTGATCTCGTCGAAACTGTACATAGAGCTCTCAGCAGTGCGTGACCCCCCAGTGTTCACAACATTATGTTGACCATATTCAGTTTCAACCCATGCCTAGTATCACAAAGACAGGTGAGATATAATTGTATGATCTCCTAAACTTGAACATAATAATAACTTCAATGGAAAAAAAAACTTATGTATAAAATATTCACCTGGTAGTAACGAACAACATGCTGATGCTGCAATCGTGAAAGTGTGGCAACTTCTCTGAATACCTCGTCAAAATATCAATTACATACATCAAACAAGAGAGAGCAGAAATGCGGAAAAAACTGTCAATAAATAAGCAAAGAAGACTTATTGAACTACAAGTATACCAAGTATAAATCCCTCTGAAAATCGAAACATCTTTTAGTCGCAAACAAGGTGGGGTTGGCTAGAACTGAAACCCATAAGATCTCAAAAGGCAAGTCCCACGCACCCCTGTCCATGGCTTGTTCTTTGGTGATATTCCAATCCTTCAAATCTCTCTTAACGGACTCCTCCCATGTCAAGTTTGGTCTACCCAACCTCTCTTGATATTATCAACACGTTCATCCCGTCTACTATGGACTGGCGCTTCTGGAGGCCTGCGTTGTATATGCCCAAACCATCTCAGACAATGTTGGACAAGCTTCTCTTCAATCGGTGTTACCCCAACTCTATCACGTATATCATCATTCTGAACCCGATATTTTCTTGTCTGGACACATATCCATCTCAACATGCACAATTGGGACATGTCGCCTTTTAGTTGGCCGGCAGTCTGCGCCATACAGCCATACAACATCGCAGGTTGAATGTCGTCCTATAGAACATCACAGAGCATGCCAGAAGTTTGGCGTCACTTCATCCATCAAGCTTTGATTTGATGCCACCTCCTTCATCGATATCACCATCCTTCTGCATCATTGACCCCAAATATCAAAAGTTGTCCTTGTGAGGTACCACCAGCCCATCAAGGCTAGCCTCCTTCTCATGCCGAGTACTACTGAAGCCACGCCTCATGTACTCAGTTTTAGTTCTACTAAGCCTAAAACCATTTGATTCCAAAGTACATCTCCACAACTCTAACTTTCTATTAACCCCCATCTGAGTATCGTCGACTAGCACCACCACATCGTCAGCAAATAGCATACACCACAGAATATCTCCTTGTATATCCCTTGTGACCTCATCCATCACCAAAGTAAAAGGATAAGGGCTCAAAGTTGACCCTTTGTGAAGTCCTACATTAATTGGAAAGTAATCAGTCTCGCCATCACTTGTTCGAACACTTGTCACAACATTATCGTACATGTCCATGATGAAGGTAATGTACTTTGTGTTTCTCCAAGGCCACCACATGACATGTCATGGTATCTTAGCGTAGGCCTTCTCCAAGTCAATGAACACCACATGCAGGTTCTTCTTTTGCTTCATGTATCTCTTCGTAAGTTGTCGTACTAGTAAAATGACTTCCATGGTCGACCTCCCACGCATGAAACCAAACTGATTTTTTGTCCCGCTTGTCATTCTTCTTAAGCGGTGCTCAATGACTCTCTCCCATAGCTTTTGTATGGCTCATCAGCTTAAATCCACGGTAATTAGTACAACTTTGAACATCCCCTTGTTCTTGAAGATTGGTACTAATATACTCCGCCTCCATTCTTAGGGCATCTTGTTTGACCCAAAAATGAGGTTGAAAAGCTTGGTTAACCATACTATCGCTATGCCTCCAAGGCCTTTCCACACCTCAATGGGGGTACAATCAAGGCCCATAGCTTGCTTCCATTCATCCTTTTTAAAACTTCCCTGACCTCAAACTCCTAGATTTATCGCACAAAACGTCTGTTGGTACCATCAAAGGGGTCATACAACTCAATGGTAGAGCTCTTCTCTCCATTGAACAATTTGTCGAAGTACTCTTGCCATCTATGCTTGATCTCCTCGTCCTTCACCAAAAGCCGATCTGCTCCGTTCTTGATGCATTTGACTTGGTTGGCATCCCTCGCCTTCCTCTGTCGGATCTTGGCCATCTTATAGATGTCCCTTTCGCCTTCCTTCGTGTTTAAACGCTAGTAGAGGTCCTCATACACCCGACCCCTTGCTCCACTCACAGCTCGCTTTGCGCTCTTCTTTGCCACCTTGTACTTCTCTATGATGTCTGCACTAGGCGTCTGCAACAATCTTTCTTCTCCTTAATAGCCTTTTGGACATCATCGGTCCACCACTGGGTATCTTTAGGTTTGCTTCTACTTCTAGTCACCCCAAAGCCCACTGAAGCCACCTCCCAAATGCAAGTTGCCATCTTCATCCACATATTGTTTGCATCACCTCCTTCCTCCCCAGGGTCCTCCTTGATAGCCTGAGTTGCCTCCCCCTTGAGCTTCCGCCACTTCGTTCTAGCATTTTGGTGCCCTTATCCCGATGGACACGAGCCCAAAACGGAAGTCAGCCACCACAAGCTTATGTTGAGGGACAACACTCTCTCAGGTATGACCTTCAATCTAGGCAAGCACGCTTGTCTTCTCTTCTTGAGGACTAAATCAATCGAGCTAGAGTGTTGACCACTACTAAAAGCCACTAGATGGGACTCTCTTCTAAAGAGGGTATTAGCCAAGGATGAAGCTAGAAAAAAAGTTTAATGGGGTCATGTTTATTACAGTGGGATCATCTTCTATAAATGTATAGTGATTAGTACTAAGTTAGTGAAGGATTTGCTACTTTCATTGGGGTCAATTGACCCCAGTGCTTTACAAGGCAGCTCTGTCCCTGGTATTAGCTACGATCATGTCGTAGGCTGAAGCAAAGCTTAAGACATCCTCTCCTTGATTCCTACTAACATAACCAAAGCCCCCATGCACCCTTTCAAAACCTGTGTTAGATGTAACCACGTGGCGATTGAGGTCTCTTATGAAGAGCTTCTCGCCAATAGTTACATTCTAACCATCTCCTCCAGCCTTCCCAGAACTCTCTCTTGGTGCTCTCATTGTGGCCTACTTGTGGGGCATACACCCTGATAGGACTGAGAACTAAGTCCCCAACGACCAGCTTGACTAGGATAATCCGGTCCCCTTGCCTCTCGACGTCCAACACTCCATACTTGAGGCTTTTTTTATCAAGATGCCTACTCCATTTTTGTTTGTACTTGTTCCCGTGTGCCACAGCTTGAAGCCGGTATCCTCCACCTCCTTCGCCTTTTGTCCCTTCCTTTTGGTTTCTTGGACGCATAGGATATCAACACCTCTCCTCACTGCTGTATCAACTAACTCCTGTAACTTACCTTCAGGGACCCTACGTTCCAGCTACCTAAGGCCTTCTTTGGTTCATAGGATAGGAATTTTATAGGAATAGGAAAATCATAGGAAGTGAGATGACATGCATGTCAATTCCTATAGAGAAAGAGATGCCATTTGGTGCATAGGATAGGATTTTTTTCCATTGAGTCTAGGCTAATTATTGAATCGGGAGATGGGTACCTTCAGACAGCAGCCTCGCTTCCTGTCTTGTTTCCTGCGTGAGTGTGTGTCTCAGATGTGGCGGCTCACACAGGACAAGGGAAGAGGGGCTCCTCTTCTAGGTCAGCACCTCTCATGGGCTTCGGCCCAAGAGACAGATCTTGATGGGCTAGGGCCCATACCGGTTCAACGCTCCCCCTCAAGATGGGTGGTAGATATCTATCATCCCCATCTTGTCATACGCCAAGTTACAGTCCTTTGTTCCCAGCCCCTTTGTCAAGCAATCTGCAAACTGCTGCCCAGAGCTGACATGAGTAAGGCTGATGATCCCAGCATCAAGTTTCTCTTTAATGAAGAAGCGATCAATTTCCACATGCTTCGTCCTATCATGTTGAACTGGGTTATTAGCAATGGCTATAGCTGATTGATTGTCACACCACAACACCCTTAAGGGTCCCTTCCTCAAAAGTTTCAACTCGCATAGTAGGTGCTTCACCCAGAGCATATCACACAACCCTTGAGATAATGCTCCATATTCAGCTTCTGTTGTTGATCTAGACACAACAGTTTGTTTCTTGCTCTCCATGACACCAAATTTCCTCCCACAAACACACAGTAGCCTGAAGTTGATCGTCTATCATCTTGACAGCTAGCCCAATCAGAGTCACTATAGCCATCCACCTCAAGATGTCCACTCTTCGCAAACCACAACCCTTTACCCGGAGTCCCCTTCAAGTATCTCAGGATTCTGTGAACAATATTAAGATGCCCACTCCTTGGTTCATGCATGTATCTGCTCACCACCCCCACGGCATACGTAATGTCAGGCCTGGTATGACACAAGTATAATAACCTCCCAACCAGCTTCTGATAATCTTCCTTATTCACTAGCTCACCTGATTGTGCTGTTACTTGATGATTTTGTTCAATCAGAGTAGGGGCTGCATGACATCCCATCATGCCCATGTCACTCAAAAGATCCAAGGTGTATTTTCGTTGGCACAAAGATATTCCCTTCTCTGTCCGAGCCACTTCTATGCCAAGGAAGTACTTCAGATTTCCCAAGTCTTTTACCTCAAACTCCTTGCTCAGACACCCCTTCACTCTCTTTATTTCCTCATCATCTCCGGTGATGATGATATCATCAACATACACTGCAACAATGGTGATCTTCTTATCAGTGTGTCTATAAAACACCGTGTGATCACCATTACATTGGCCATACCCCATATTCCAAACAGCTCGTCTGAACCTATCAAAACATGCCCTCGGCGATTGCTTCAGGCCATACAAGGATTTCTTCAGCCTGCATACCTTCCCCGTAGTTTGTTCTGTGCCAAAACCTGGCGGTATCTCCATGTATACCTCTTCTTTCAAGTCACCATGTAAGAAGGCATTCTTGACATCTAACTCGTGCAATTTCCACCCAAAGTTTGCAGCACACGAGACCAATACATGTACTGTGTTCATCTTTGCAACTGGAGCAAATGTCTCATCATAGTCAATTCCATAAGTTTGACTATATCCTCTAGCGACCAATCTAGCCTTATACCGTTCCACCTTGCCCTCAGGATTCTGCTTCACAGTAAAAATCCACTTACAACTCACTGCTTTCTTTCCTGCCGGCAATGTGGTTAGCACCCATGTCTTGTTTTTTTCAATGCTTCTAACTCCTCTATCATCGATTCACGCCACTTCGGATCTTGCTTTGCAGCCTTCCAATCCTTAGGGATAGACACAGTTTGCAGAGAGGCAACAAACGCCTTATATGAAGGTGACAAAGCCTTGTAAGACACAAAATTGCCAATATCAAGGTCATCACAAGCATCATCCTTTGGCAGAGCCTTCCTTGCTACCTCACCCTTCCTTGCCGCTTCACGTGTAAGTTTTCGCAACGCAATGGGCAGCTCCACTGTGTCAGATGAGCTTGCCTCACTGCCTTGCTGCTCCCCCTGCACTCTTGCCTCACTACCTTGCTGCTCCCCCTGCACTCTTGCCTCACTGCCTTGCTGCTCCCCCTGCACTCTTGCCTCCCTGCCTTGCTGCTCCCCCTGCACTTGTGGTTGCCGTCGCGAGTACACCAGGGTATTCGTCTGCCATCGATCCCGAATAGGAACCTGGAGAGCACCAATCTTAAGTGTATCGACAGTTGGCTCGACATGAGCCTGCACATCATCATCAGTGATGGTACTAACCGGAATTGTACCCACTATTTGAACCTGAGCCTGCACATCATTATCAGCGTTAATGTCCACAGAATCTCCGTGAGTATGAGACACATCCTTCTCCCCCTCTTGACCATCATGCACAGGGTGTAGGTGGTCAAGCTCTGCAAACAGCAGACTGAGATCAGTCGGCTCACCATAGAATGGCTCAGACTCCCTGAACGTAACGTCCATACTTACAAACCTGCGTTTTTCAAAGGGACACCAACATTTATACCCCTGCTGACTAGACAAGTATCCCAGAAAGACACACTTCACTGCCCGAGGATCAAGCTTGCCAACAGATGGTCGGTGATCACGAACAAAGTAGGTACTGCCAAACAACTTTGGCGGAACAACAAACTTATTATCTCTAACGAGCAACTCAGACGGAGATTTCATGCCAAGTATCCTGGAAGGTGTCCGGTTGATCAAGTATGTGGCTGTCATAACTGCATCATCCCACAAGAACTTAGGCACATTCATGGTAAACATCAATGACCGAGCAACCTCAAGAACATGACGATTCTTCCGTTCGGCCACTCCATTCTGAGGGGGGTGTCCGGACATGAAGTTTGATGAAGAATCCCATGGTCAGCCATGAAAGCCCCAAAAATGTTGTTCACATACTCCGTTCCATTGTCCGTGCTGAGCACCTTGACCTGTACCTGAAACTGGTTCTTTACAAGAGCACGGAAGTTCTGAAAACAGCTAAACACCTCATCCTTGTGACGCATCAAGTAAATCCAAGTCATGCGAGAATAGCAGTCAATAAAGGTAGCAAAATACTTCTTCCCATTCATTGACACCACTGGGCTAGTCCATACATCCGAATGAATAAGCATAAAAAGAGATATGCTCCTGAGCCCCTTACTCACATATGAGGCCCGTGTGTGTTTTGCATATTCACAAGCATCACATGTCAGCTTGCCTTTGCCTATTCCACACATAACATCCGGAAATATTCTACCCATCTTATGAAAAGATACATGCCCCATCCTACAGTGATGGATCATCGCCTGCTTCTCCTTATCCTCCATGGTCGCAGCACACACCAAGTCCGGCTGCACCTCCTGGTTCATGTACCAGAGCCCCCTACGCCTGGTGCCAGTCCCAACCGTCTGGCTCGTCTGTCGCACCTAAATCAAGCAACCGAACTTGTCAAGGATCACACGACAGTCCATTTGATCAATGAGTGCACTGAAAGAGGCCAAATTGACAGGAAAGGCTGGCACATGTAAAACTGACGATAGGGAAATGGTCGGAGTACACTTTACTGTACCAACCCCTATGACTGGTTGTTTTGTGCCATCAGCCGTTTGTATAGTGCCCGTGTGAGAGGGAGGATGCTTAGTGTAAGACTCGAACACACAGGAGTTACTAGCAACATGCTTAGATGCTCCAGAGTCAAGAACCCGCTCTGGAGCACTTTCATTAATAGCAAGAGATGCTCTTTCCGGATTACCTTCATCAGTGGAGGCCCAGTGAGCAAAGTCTCCATAGACAACATCATCTACATCTTTGCCTTTGGACGTCCCAGTGTCTCCTGCAACGGCCATGTGAGCCCTCTGACCCCCTGAGTGTCCTGAGTAGCCACCTCTGCCTCTAGAAGCCTGGCCCCATGAGGTCTCTGAGTATCCACCTCTGCCTCTAGCACTTCTACCTCTGCTTGTTCCCCCTCTGTTATATCCCCTGCCTCTGCCATGTTATATCCCCTGCCTCTGCCACGAGTTGGACATTCTCTCTTCCAGTGACCTACCTCCCCACAGATATGACATTTGGTGGGATCTCCCCACTCCATGCGCTCAGTGACTGCAAATGTCAAAGCTGGCACAACCTTTCACGTCTGCATGCTCAAGGGATAGGCGCGCCTCCTCTTGAGTCATCGCTGCAATAGCCTCGGGAATGGTAGGCGGACTAGGTTGGTGCAACAGGGAAGCCTTCCTGCCATCAAAGCAACCTTTGAGGCCAGCCAAAAATTTCAGCACACGCCTGCGTGCCATCCACTTATGCCCTGACTCGATTGAAGCCGCGTCATAGAGTTCCAGGGGATCACAGTTATCCTGGTCAGCCCACAGAGCCTGCAGTTCTGCCACGTATGTCATCACTGACATGCCATCATCTTAGCGCAGCAACCTAATCTTGTCCTCAATCTGAGCAATGAGCATGACATTGCCCTTGCCAGAGTATTGAGTGGACAGAATCTTCCATATCTCAGCAGATGAGGATAGCCCCTCCACAGAGCGTCCAATGGAGGGCACCACAGAGTTCAACAACCACACCATAAGTACAGAGTGGATGACCTTCCACCTCTTGCCTTCTGCACTACTCTTGTCCCCTGGTTCTACAACGGTGCCCAACAAATATCCATCAAGCTCCTTCTGCTCCACAGCCCACAAAGCCCTCCTGGACCAGCTCAAATAATTTGTTGCCCCCTCTAGCTTCATGTCCAGGGGCGACATTTCAAGCTTTTGAGCCACTTCCTGTCGAGGAACGATGGCCCCAGAGTTGGATTCCGCGAGGATCTTAGCGAGCTTCTCCAAAGCCTCGGCAAGACCAGTTGGTTCAGCCATCGTTTGACGGGATAAGCAGCAACAGCAAAACTCAGCCTCAGAGAGTCTTCTTTCCCAAGCAGCACCACCACCACCACCACAACAACAAGTCCACAGAGAAAAAAAAAATCTCTGTAAAGCACACAAGCGGTCCAGCCCAGGCTCTTCCTGTTCCAGAACGAGCAGTCCAGCAGGCTGCACCTCTTTCTTCCTCTGCCGCAGCACCAACAGCAGCAGCTCCCCGCCGCAGCCTGACTCGCACACAGCCCAAATCCGCCGCCGCCTTCTTCCTCCTCCTCTTCTTGCCGCAGCCGCCTGCACAGCCCGCAGCAGCCCTCCTCGGCCGCCCCCTTCGCAGCTAGCCACCCCAAGGACGCGAAGCAGGACAAGAGGAAGCAGCACCTTCCCGGCCGCGTCGCAGCTCCTCAAGCCCAGCTGCGTCGCCGCCGCACGCACCACAGCAGACCCGCTGCCTCGCGCACGCACGCAGCCTCCTTTCTCGCCTGACCCCGCTGGGCCCCACCGCCGCCTCTCCGGCGAGGGACTACGCCGCCACCGTCGTCGCCTGGCTCGATGCCATGTTGAATCAGGAGATGGGTACCTTCAGACAGCAGCCTCGCTTCCTGTCTTGTTTCCTGCGTGAGTGTGTCTCAGATGTGGCGGCTCACACGGGACAAGGGAAGAGGGGCTCCTCTTCTAGGTCAGCACCTCTCATGGGCTTGGGCCCAAGAGACAGATCTTGATGGGCTAGGGCCCATACCGGTTCAACACTAATGTTCTTTTCCCTCCAAAACGTGAAGGATTGATTCCTATCCTACATAGGAATAGGAATCCATTCCTACAAACCAAAGGGCTTCAAAGGAATTTTTCCTTTGCAAATCCTATCCTATAGAATTCCTACAAAAATCCTACAAACCAAAGGAGGCCTAAGAGGATCAAGTATAAATCCCTCTTGAAAATCGAAACACAGGTCATTCTAATCTGTGCCAACATTTATTACTTCGACCGTGAATATAAAAATAAATAGAAACGTTGCCAAGATGAAATTACCAAATCCATCCTCAAACATATTCTCACAATGCACAGTTATTTTATTATATGAAGCAACAAATTTCATAGAAACTGATGGTCAAAGTGTCACCTTAGAGGCCATGATCATGTCATGTCCAAAAACAACTTACATTTGGGATCAAAGGGAGTAACAAGTGAAGTAGGGTATTTATTAAATTCACACAGTTATAGCAACTCATAGATAGGGAATGACAATGCTGGAGTTAGATTAGTACCTTAAACATAACGGTTACTTTGCTAGTGACCAATTATCAACATAAGTGAAATGAAAACATATAGAGCTATATGGACTTGGGAGTGTAGGGCTATATAGTATATACTATTACCAAACAAGTTTTAGAGCATGTTTCTACTCGGTGTCATCCTTCCAATAGTTTATCTCAAGGAAACAGTGAAATTGTCAAGTTTTTTTGCCTAACTCATCAACATTGGTTAACAACCGATAATTGCTCTCAGGCAAGAAAAGAAATGCATTTCGAAATAACCCACAAAAAATCATATATGTACATGTGGGAATATTATGTGCACTTGCAAACTTTTGCATAGAAAAAATGACAAATGTACGTTTGCCCTGCACAAAAATAGTCAAATTGGATACACATATAATTGATAACAATTAACCCCTCCCTTCATCCCTTGTCTATTTTTTGTGCAAGAATACAAACCAACATTTGATGCCTTTTAGTGCAAATGGTCACTATTCTTTCCAGGAGCAGGTGTGCTTGGGTGCAATAAAGATGCACCATTTAGCAAGTAAATTTGCAAATGTGTACATGAAAAGGATAGAGAGACAGCACATCTCAACTAAAAGAACAAGATCAGGGGCATTCAAACCTCAGAATCTTTTCATTCACTTGAGGACTTCTATCCTTGAGGCGTATCTTCTTTACAGCATATTGGCGTCCATCGAGCTTGTTTTTACACAATGCCACACGGCCAAAGCCCCCCTGACCTGTCACAAATGATTTCTTAGGAGTTATGCCAATCCATGAAAATACATTCATTTTGTTAGCGCGTCCCAACAAAATGAATGATAAGGTGCATACATTTAATACATACTAATCTACTCTATAGTGAGTAACATTTGGGGACATAAGACAGCATCAATCCATAACTTATACAACTATCAACTATCTTAGCATAACTGTCTTACTTACCATACCAAATGAAAAAGTGAATACAGAACAAGCCAGCACCACTCATGTTAGTCATTTAGTGTGAAACGTTGAGCAGATTAAGCACCTGAAACCAAGACCTAAGGCCTATAATAAGCAAGCTCGGTAAGTGTCAGAACTTCCAATGAATTCCTTACCTTTTGGTCTAAATCATGTTTAAAACATTTTAAGAAGTATTATGTAGTAGAACCTTATTGCATAGTACAGAACACAGTAATTGGTGCGTATCCAACATCCAAATTATCCAAGAGTGTGGTAAATGATTGGTCCATTCATAGTACGCAGAACAGTATCAAGCGGAAGCAAGGCACTCACCAAGTGAACGGAGCTCTTCGAAATCATTCAAATAACGGGAGTTTGGCCTAGACGATGAATTGTCAGCCCTCCAAAATAGAGAGCACTCTGAAGATATCTGTTTGATGTCATCAGAAAGCCAAATAGCAATTAGAAACGCTCAACACCACAGCAGTATTGGTAGAAGTAAATCATGAGTTAGCAGAACAGTATCAGGCGTGGCATACCATTTGTTGCCCAAAAACATGATCAAAAGTTTCCCCAAAAACAGCAGGAGATTCAGAAATTAATTGCTTAGCCCATTCAGAAAGAACCTGGTTAACAGAAAAATAACATGTAAATCATCTAACTGGGAAATGTGATCAAGAGGAATCGACAAGGAAACATAAATTATTATACTAGATTGACACACCCCTATGTTGCATAACTCCGATGATATTACTGGCAAAGCAGCTGAAAGAGAATCCTTTGATGCACAGGCTAACCGAAGCAAGTGTACCTAATGAGGGTACCAAACATGGTCATTACTCAAGGAGAAAATCCTGCTCAAAACGGGGTGAGAAAATCACACTGGAACAAATATGTATGCGAAACTAATACCAGAATTAAATCCCTTCTCTTATTTTGCGAAGCATCATCATACATGTCTGAAACATGAGATGGTGCATTTGAAGAGCCAGAGTCTGGGGCAGAATCTTCATCATTCCAACCTTCATCTGCAAGGTCAGAGTCCTACGAGGATTAACAAATATGTCGTCAGATTCAGCATGCTGGATGACTCATTTCAGTATATCAGTGTAGATGTGATCATTCAAAAGTAAGCAGAAAGGTAGTACAGGTAATAAAGTAGGAGCAGCACTGCAGAAGTTTCTAGCAAACCATCTAGTTTTCACCCCAAAAAGGCAAACCATTAAATAAACATTTGTTTTTTAGGAATAAAAATTGACACCTGATGGAAAATGTAAGCTAGTGCTATCAATTTACCAAACAGAAAAGCATAAATAAGTAGAACAAAACATTATAACACATAATTCAAAGCCATGAAAAGAAGTAGGATGAAAGAAAATTTGAATGTTCATGTACAGCTTAGATCATAAAGAGTTCCCTAAAAATCTCGCATTATTATACAGTTTTCTTTCTCCAGAACAGCATTCCACGAATCAGACTGTCCTTCAAATAAACAACTCCTTTTCTTTGTGAATATGTGAACCATATGTCATAATGTATTAAAAGGAAAACTGTGAAGCACCGAGAACCTATAGAAGTTCTGTTTTATCACCTCGGATTCATGTACACTGCTGAAACTCCTCTCTGGAGTATCTGCCATACCTCCTCTGTTGCTTGTGGACAAAGTTTTGCTGTCATTATCAGTTTCCTCTGCAACAACAGGTAAACTTGGAACTACCTCTCGTACAACACCATGCTTCATGGCATGCTGCTGTTCACCATTATCCTGAGATGAATTTTTTGCAGCGTTGACCTTATCGGCTGAAAAACGGGATTTCTCATTGACTGTTTTCCTCTTGCTTCTAACATTTGAATTGACTTGAGATCCAATATTTTTCTTGGCATTATCAGTTGTAGGATCGAAACCTTGCCTTTGCCAACTATTATCATCATATAGTTGATTATACAAATCGAATGAGTTATAGATGTAAAAGATTCCAGGGTAAGGACCGCCATCAAGGCTAGCTTTCACATCTGCGTCAGTTGCTTCCTGTATTGTATTTGAACCTAAGTGAGGAGCCTGCAATATAGGATAATAAGCCTCCTAAGATATGTTTCTTATCCTAAAGCTCGATAAATAAACAAAATAAAGTTATCCACTGATGAAGTGGAAAAACAAGTAATCCCATACATGAAATCCTAGGATCAGTTATTCCAGATAGCAATGTGTAGCAGAGGCAATAGATTATATATTTAAACTGTACTAATCAAGTACCTTAACAGAGTAATTATTGCATGAGTATGTCTGGTGGTCCTTTTTCTGCTATGGCTTGAACAGTCTCTAAGACCTCATTTATTTCTATCTACTATACACACATGCAGTGGTTTGCATGTTCTAAAAAAAGACTATTTGCATGAGTTCAAGATTACGCAAAATGTGAAATAGAGCATTTCCACAAGTTCTCACAATATATATCATAAAACATGGCGCGCTGATTACCAAGTAACATGTGAAGTAACCATGATGAAATTAGCTGACCAAATGAGTCAAAAGCAGAAGGGTAGCATATCAAAAATTTGTAGTATAGCATCAACCAGTGAAGGTGATAGATAACCTATAATCCCAAGCTAAATGCAACTTCAGCAAACCTGACCGAACTAAACAAGAAAAGCCAACTGGTCTACTTTCTCAAGCACGCAAGGAGCATGAGAAGAGAAGATATCAATGGAAATTTAGGTCAACACAAATGGTCAGGAAACGGATGAATCTTGATTATCTTTTTTTAAGGGGCAATCTTGATCATCTTATATGAAAGCAAATTAATGTCATAATGAAAAATAGACAATGCACCGCATACAAGAACAATGAAAAGGATGTCAAACTCAATGTTATGTATTATAATGAATGCCATGAAACCGACTTACAGTAGTCGTTGAATCAGTAGCTGGAGCAATTGCTGACAGGAATTCTTGAGCAGCCTCTACCAAATCAAAAATCATAACACGCCCTTCTCGGGAATAAATGTTTGCCTGAAAACAAACACCAACAGACGAGTCGAAGATGCTTAGTATATGCACATACCAACGAAAAGCAATTATCACATTTCGCATCGTTGTCTGATTAGAAAAACTTGGGCTTAATAAGAAAATAGTGAAACAGAAATTTTATCTTTGCAACTAGATTAAAGTGGTTTTCTTGACTGGGATACTACTAACTTACTAAGGTACTCAGCTTTCGGATGCTACTCTAGTACTTGCCAGGAACGCACATAAACTGCTTTACCGTTTGAACACAAGCATCTAACAACAGGATGCTCATGCAAAGCCTGCGCTCTCTTATTATTTTGCAGTACCGAAGTTCCAGGACTATCAATGGTTCAATGAAAATGATATTTAGAGGCAAACCGAATAACCATACAAGCTTAAGCCCATAAAGCTACAAAACTTGAATGAGGCTTCTTATACTTAATTACTGTTAAGGGTCATGGCGCTGTTACGGTCTCTATTTTTTTACTGTCACAGCTCATACCGCTAGTAAGTGTGTGCTCGATTAGCTGTGTTATTTAGTTGCCGTTGAGTCATGTGTCAATTGTACCGCATCAAGTTAAGTTGTCGCCCCCAGAAGTTAAAGGGACAATTGGTGATGAGTGGTCTGTTTGTCCACCTTCAGCTAAGAAACCACACAAGGAATGAGCACACCACATAAATCACCTCCACCAAAAATCCTAAGCAAACTATAAGCATACCCTATCCATCTTTCTTTTAATGAGACCTTATCTCCTGAGCTGGTCCTCGCTGTAAAACTAATTCCGACTTTTAAATTGGTCATGATATATTTTGATCTGTTGCAATGCGTGGGCACTCAACAGTCCTCTGTCAAAGGATTCAACCAAAAGTGATAGGTAATAAAGTCAGATGAAGTCAAAATACCTGGTCAGAAAGAAGGGAAAGTAGCCGATCAGCATCTTCTTTACACAAGTTTTTCTCAGGTATGATTCGCAACTTTGGGCACTTGTGGGGGTAACCAGCAAAGCAACTGTATTGTAATCAAAAGATGGATGTCATCAAGTGCAAAACAAACGAAACATCTCTTAAACAAAAAGACTTACATTACGTCAAGAATAGCCGAAACATTTAAATCTCCAAAGCCCATGCCATCAGAGTAAGGCCTGTATGTTATTCATTGATGTAGAAACTTTAGATGGTCAAATACATAGTGAATTAGTGATACATTTAGAAGTATGTTTGGGTTCACATAAGACAATACCTGATACATATGCTAAATCGGGTGTGAGGTGATTGTGAAGTTATTTTGAAGTCCTCGAGAAAAATTGCAGCCCTGATTGATATACCAAAAGGTGGCATTAAGATCAGATAACCAAAACACATAAGAATCAGGGAGACTAAATTATTTTAGTGCCCTGGTTGACAGTTTGCAGAGTGAGTCAATTATAACTTGTCAGTATTCAGTCCACCCTGAAATTCTGTATCGAACAGTTGGATAATATGTACTCCACATTCCATAATTCAAACTTAACGATCACAAAGCAACCAGAGAACAAAAAGGCTAGAACAAGTACCAAAAGTACGCCATAACAAACATAGCTGGCAATAGACAAAATATTAGGCAGCTACAGACTCAGGACCACCCACCATGGAGTTATCAGGAACAGAGCAATAAAACCATACTTTACAATCTACTTGGAAGATAAACATATACAACGAGCAAATATTCTACAGGAACCCAAGCTTTGTAGTCTCCAAAACACTGACATATTAGACAGTGTAACATCATCAGAGAGTAAAAACCATCTGTGACTGTCAGTACAGCAATCCAGTTCCAAAACCAAAAGGTGATGCTACCTCCAACATCTCTTAGGGGATACAACCGGGGGTTAACTCGATATGTGTAACAAATGCTATCGAACTAGTATTCAAGCAGAGACAGCTGAACAACACTGGGTTCGCAGATTGCTGAGAACTTGAAAAACCGAACAGGGGCGCAGCACGAAATCGGTGGGGTTGGGGCTGGTGCAATGGGGCCTTACAGCGCCGTGAGCTCGTCCGTGAGCGCGGTCTGGTCGCCCTCGAGCTGCGCGGCGTGGTCCTTGGCCGCCTTGCGCCCGGCGCCGCCCTTCTTCTTCTTCTTCCTCGCGCTATGCCCCATCGGAGCGGAGCGCGCGCGGCCGCGTCGGAGGCAGCGCCGGACCAGAGGGGGTGCGGCGGCGGCGATTTGGTCCCGTGGGGAGACGGGGATGATCGGATTGGATGTTCCGGGTGAGGGAGGGGATCTGTGTGCTGGGGTTTCTCTGACTCGAGTCCGGGAGGAGGTTTTGACGTGGAATGGAGTGGAAGGGGCTGCGTGCGTCGTGACCGGGGTCCAGACTGTTATCTCGATCCAGTCAGCGCAGAGGCGGCGAGACCTTGCGACCAACTTCGGTTCGGATGAGCGTTTCCTTCCCCAGCTCTAGCCGCCACCCAGTGTCTCCTCCACACCGCCGCCTCCTTCTCTCCCCCTCTCTCTGCGTCAGCAGACAGATGAGTGGGATCCATCCTTTTCGTTAACGACAATGTTATTCAGCGAACCTTCGCTGGGGGGCATATTAAAACGAACGTTCTTTGCGGCGATTTATGTGTTGGGAGTATAGCAATTCCTTCAAGCGAATACGCCAATTTTCATAGTAAATCCATTGTTTGCCAGGATATGTCATATGTTTTCGAAGAAACCTGAAATCTTAAAAGTGCACGCGCACTATTCCGTCAAACTGAGCGGCCGCGCCTCGACCGCTCGTTCCGTTCCGTGTGGATCGTGTGGCCCAGGAGAGTCAGGTGCTATTTTGTCGGGAGACTGTTTCGTTGCCCCGAGCGGCCTCGCTATCGACATATCAGCATACGCGCTCGTCCACTTTTTGCATCTTATCCATTTGTCCCACCTCCCACTACCTGCCGCCTCGCACTGCTGCTCACCTTCCTCCGACGCGACCGCCTCCCGCTCCTTCTCCAGGCCACGTGCCCCTCCGCCGAGCTCCTCCTCCCGGCGATGTGGCTACCGTCCCGATCCTCCTCCCGGCATCGACGCCCCCGGAGGTCAAGGAAGATGCGGCGGATCCGGCGGTGCAGGCCGAGCAGATCGAGGCCGTGGAGCCGGAGAAGCATCGCCGACGTCTCCTCCTCCACTTTCCTAAGGGGCGCCGTCAGAGCTCTTGGGAGGGGACATACAGGTAGGACATCACCTCTCTCTGGATCCATCGATCCAAAAGGTTGGGATGGGGGAAAGAGCGCGGTGACAGGATCCGTCGTGGTCACGCGTGGATGACGGGGCGGTGGCGTGCAAGCATCGTGGTCATGGATGGGGAAAAGGAGCGTGGACGGGATGGAGAAGTCAGTAGCAGGGGTTTCCGCTGCCGGCCTTGTTGTAGTAGAAGGGCGTGGTGGTCGGATCCATGGTGGCTAGGGTCGGACTACAGGGATGCAGCGTGCAGGCTTCGCTATGGTGGCGGATTGGTCATGAAGGAGTCGGCTATATCCTTCCATGAATTAACATCTATGGATCTGTAGTTGATCTGTTAGGGGAAGGTAGGGCACTAGCCCCAATGGCTTTTCACATGATTTTTACTGATTTTGAGAGGGGGAATTGCTATGTGTAGTCAGTCTATTTTTTTGTGCAACTAGGCCCCGTTCCTGTGCAATTTATCATAGCCACTAGCCAAATTTGTAAGTCAGTTTTTGATGTTAGTTCTGTGCAAGTAGGGACGCCTCCCTGTGCAACTAGGGTGCTTTCCTATGCAATCTATTACATCTGATAGCCAAATTTTATAAGCAAACTAGGCAACATAAATTTTGTTCTCTGTATATCAGTTTTTTGGTGTTAGTTCTGTGCAACTAGGGGTTCCTTAGCAATCTATCAAATCTTTGTATCCCAATTTGTAAGCAAACTAGGCAAATAATTTTCGTTCTTTGTATATCAGTTTTTGGTGTCGGTTTTGTGCAACCTGGGGAGCCTTCTTGTGCAATCTATCATATCTTCTAGCCAAATTTGTAAGCAAACTAGGCAAATAATTTTTTTAGTTCTGTGCAACTAGGGATACATTACTGTGCAACCAGAGGAAATGTGCCTGGTAGTGAAGCAGAGGTTCATATTTTCTTTTTCTTTTATCATATATGGCCATTTATTTATGCTCTTTTCTTTTACCCTCTGTGTAGTTCAATATTTTTTGTTCATTGTAGGGTTCTCCAAATAGGACCTCTCGGCGGAACTCAAAACGGACGGCTAAGCGGCAACCACGTGGCGCTGATAATGACGGGGATGGAGAGAATGATGATGTATCCTAGAGAGTATATAAATGAGCTGGCATCCTCAGGCTTTTCTAATTGCACAAGAGTATCTGATTAGTTGGCATCCTCAGCATTTCTAGTTGCACAATACCATCCAACCAGTTGACATCCTCAGTATTTTGGTAGCTGCGTTGACACCCTCAGCATTTTCTTCTAGAAGCCTGAAACCTGAATGTGCAATTTTTTGATTGGTCATGCAAGTGCTGAATATTTTCTTTTCCCAAGAGTATCTAATTAATTGGCATCCTCAAGATTTATAGTTGCACACGAGTATTCAATTAGTTGGCATCTTCAGCATTTCTACTTGCACAAACAGTATCCAACTAATTGACATCCTCAGGCACAAGAGTAACTATTTTTTAGTCCCATCTTCAAATTTTTGAGGGTTGCCCAAGAGTATCTAATGATTGGCACCCTCAGCCTTTCTAGTTGCACAGGAGTATTTAATTAGTTGGCATCCTGAGCATTTTCTAGTTACACAATAATATCTAACTAGTTGACATCCTCAGTTTTTCTAGTTGCACAAGAGTAACTATTTTAGTTGGCATCCTCTGCATTTTGTAGCTGGACAACTAACATAATATCAAGTTGGCATCGTCCTTTTTTATCTAGTTTTTCTGAAGAACGACAAATATTTTGTATGCAGTGTTAACTAATCACCTTTGGCTTGGATCCATGATTTAGTTGCACAAATATGTACTCCTTTTGCACAAACAATACATCCATCACATGTTTCTAGTATGGGATGTTTGTTGCACACTTTTTTGCAGGACTACTCTCTTGTGTCCATTTGCGCACATCCAGATCGAAGTTGGTTTTTGCTACTAGGTCTAGTTGCACAGAGTGGTGTTTAATTACACAGACATCAGATTACTGTCGAAGTGAAAACTACACGTCTGTGAGTAAATCGACTATCATTTAGTTGCACATCGACTGCTAGACAGTTGCACAAAATGGGGCATAAGTTGCACATAATTTTTTTTGTCAAAACATACTCATGTGGGATCTAGTTTCGAAGAGCACGTCGCGAGGATTTTCACGATGAAAACGGATCTTAATTTTGATGTTTGGTTCAAAAGTTATGACTTTTTAAAAATTCCAAAACCCAAATTAAATACGTTCACACTTGTTTACATGGTACATTTGATGGACTGGGAGGGCCTTGGGCGTGTCTTTTGCTGTGCACGTGGTCGGGGCTCACGTGCTGGAAGTGGGTGGGGATCGGCTGGAAGTCGGGATGCCTTTTCTGGCGTGGGTGAGCTGGTGTTTCCTTTTCTGGAGTGGAGGGACCAAAAGTTTCCTTTTTCGTCGGCCGCTCGGAAGACTAACCAACCAACAGCCGCTCCCTAGACACGTCCTTTAGAATTTAGGCCGGCCGCTCGGGACGGCTACCGAGCAGCCGGCCGCTCGCTAGACTTGCCCTCAAAGAAATTGCCATAAAAAACTTGTGCAAATGCCGTCCCCAGCAAACATTCGCTGGCTAAAGGAATCCTTCCTTAATTTCAGTCTTAATAGGTTTCTTTTTTACGTTCTACTTCCTCCGTTTCTAAATATTTGTCTTTTTAGGCATTTCAACAAGTGACTACATACCGAACAAAATTAGTGAATCTATACTTTAAAATATGTCTACATATATCCGTATGTGATAGTCATTTAAAACGTTTAGAAAGACAAATATTTAGGAACGGAGGGAGTATTTTCTAGTGGCATCGGTGAGGTGGCGACAACGATGGCGTGTTGGATTTTGAAATAAAGTCTCTTCGATTGTAGTGAAAAGTTTGTGAGAGTAGATATTCCTTCCGTTTTTTAGTCTGCATATAAGATCTAGTCAAAGTCAAACTTTCTAAAGTTTGACTAACTTTATAGAAAAAAAATATCAACATCTACAATACTAAAGCTATATGGTATGAAAATTAATTTCATGATGCATCTACGATATTGATTTCATATTGTGAATCTTGATATATTTTTTTTATAAACTTAGTCAAAATTAACAAAGTTTGACTTTGACCAAATCTTATATGCAGACTAAAAAGAAACGAAGGGAGTATGTCAGCGTTCTGGGAACGGGGTCCCCAGACTTGACTGTCTGCGGCCCACGGCGTAGCTCCACCAGCGACCCTGTACGGCTTATCTTCATCAGCAAACACTCAAGACCTTCGCGAGGCGGACGACGCAAGATCTCCTCGGGGACGGCCTCACCAGGCTGGCTCGTGAGGGGCGAAGAGATCAAGGCGAAGGGCACCTCGCGAGGTCCCTATGACGCAAGCCATGACGACCAAGGCTAGGCGGACGCCAGCGCGCGCAGTGTACTCGTTTCTTTTTTGGTGCTAAAGAGACAAGCGCAGACGAGGAGTCTCGAGGTTAGACCTTGCTTGTCCTCAAGCGAAAGGCGAAATCGAAAAATATGTCCACATGTTTAGAGATAGAGGTGTCGATAAAAATAAAATACGGACATGAGGACATTATGATCATTCTTAGAACAGAAACTTATATAATTCTTGTCATATGATCTCTTATGCTAGAGTAATAATTCAATCACAATTTCAAGTATGAATCGTAAACTTCATTGAAAACCAACAAATTATAATCTCAGTCGTTGAAGCAATTGCAATTTATCATAACATAGAAAAGAGTCAATATAAGAGTTTTTCAGCAAGTCCACATACTCAACTATCATATAGTCTTTCACAATTACTGACACTCACGCAATACTTATGGGTATAGAGTTTTAATCAGGATCTTTCCAACATACTGTGTTTGCCAAAGAATAAAATGTAAAAAGGAAGGGTGAAGATTACCATGACTCTTATGCAAGGTACGAGACAAAAA